GCGCGAGCAGCAGCAGCCAGTGTCGGCGGAGAGCACCGGGGCGCAGCCGGAGCCGCAGCCGGGATGGCCGTGGCCGTGGGCAGACCGTCTGTGAGTGCCCGGGGAGGGGGTTCCCTGCTTCGGGGAGGGTGCGGACGGGGAGCGCGGGGCCCCGGCCGCGGCTACTGTGGCTGTGGGTGTGTGCAGGCACCCGGGCGCGTGCCGGCGCTGCGGGGAAGGCGAGGAGCCCCGAGGCTCGTCCACGACGTGATGCAACAGTGTGCTCGCCTCGTCGCGCCCACTTTTCCCGAGCCGTGGCAGGCGAGGACCCCTGCTGTGTGCCCCGAACCGGGCTCTTCGCCGCAGTGCCGCTCGGCTGCCTTTCTCGGCTGCCCGCGCACACCTTTCCCCTCGTGACAGCCGAGAGGCGCCGGGTGCGGGGGTTTCCTCCCGCGCTCCCGGCGCCGAGGGGGCGGGCAGAGCTTGGGGACCGGCCCTCGGAACGCCGAGGATCGGCCGGTGGTGGGCGCGGGTTAAAAATAAAAGGGTGGGTTTTCCGGGGTGGCTTCCCAGCGCATTGTGAGACCCGGGTGACGGCCCAGCCCAGGATGCGGACAAAGCCCTAGATAGACAAAGTTTTCAAAAGGCCCCCTTGTCCGGGCGGGTGGGAATGGAAAAGCTGGCAGGCCGGGGGCAGCGGGCAGCGGGCAGCGAGGCGGGAGTCCCAGAAGGGGAAGGGAGGGCGGGTGCGTGGAGAATCGGGTGCCCCACGCCCGAGAGGGATGGAAAGAGGGAAGGGGAGGCCCAGGCTCCGAATTTGGGAACAGGGGGCCGGGCAGGGAGGCGCGCCTGCTGGCTGTGCGCGCAGGAGTCGGCCCCCGACCGGGACACGGCTGCCCAGGGAGGGGAGCCGGACTTTTGGGGTGCGGTTCAGTGAGTGCGGCGCATCACTGGGTGAAATCGGGGGCTGACCAGGCGGCGGCTGCGGTGGCCTTTTCTTTTTATTAGAAGCCCGCGCCGGGTGGGAAAGGCGGAATCCGCTTTCTTTCTATCTCTTTGTTGATGTTCAAAGTCCACTTTCGCCCATCAGCTTTGGAGGCGCCGTGGTTGTCTGTTCCTCGGCTTTCCCTCCTTCCTCCTCTTCCTTTTCTCTTCCCCTGGTCTCCCTGTGCGGCTGCAGGTGGCCGAGTATGAGGTTTTGTCATTGTAGACCAAAATCCTTTGGAAGCACCGACAAGTTCCGAAGCCCCAGGCACTCAAGGCTGTGCACCTCTGACTGGGCTCTTTCTGTGACTTCCAGCCTCTCCCCAGATTCTCACGCCTTTTCTCCCACCCCACCCCCATACCAGGAAGTCTTTGGGGTCACTTTGCCTTCTGACTTGCCATTGTGTTTTCAAAGATGCCGCTCCAGGGTCAGACATGTGCAGTGGACACTACTGAAGTGTAACGGTGTGGCTTTGAGGCATTTCAAACTCTTCATTGTTTAGGAGCACACTCTTAGGAATCCAGGTCTCCTCTCACAGGAATTGTGATCCTTAGTGGGCGTGGATCATGGTTAGGCAGAGACTTGGGAACAGTCTCTGGGCTGGTCCCTGTGTTTTGCAGAGAGAGCAAGTGTATTTGGTTAAATCCCCACCCCCTCACCCATATTTATTTTCAGGGAGCAGATTCCGAACAGGAACTTCTCCAGATAACTTGGAGAACGCATGGGAATGGGACGCCTGTCTGTGGAGTGGGGTGGGGTGCCTTTTTCAAGAACACCTACCAGGGACGCATTCTTGAGTGTGGGGGAGGCGGAGGAAATAATTTGCCGCACATTTTCAATAAATTAGTTCAGTTCATATATGTCAGTTAAATAGGAACAGCATGTGGCCATAATCAGATCCAACACCACCAGGCCTGTCGACCAGATGTGACCTTAATCCCGCAGAACGTGGGTGTAAAACCTCTCCTCATTCAGATGATAGGAGGAGCTGATTTTTAAAAGCGTATGTGTAATTTATTTTAAAATAGGAATCTCTATGACCGAGTCATTGTGTGGGTGATCCAGAACTGATCACAGAGTTGACAAGTCTTTATTTAGATCATCTTATTGGGGGCTCTTACAACTCTTGTTACAATCCATATATCTCTTGTATCTGATATATTAATACATATATTCCATCATTCTTTTCTAGACATTTACTTTCCATTGAGCCCTTGGGATCAGCTCCTCTATTTTGGCCCCCCCCCCCACCAATCCCTTGATAGGTGTGTGGTTATGCGCCATTCATGGTGTTTGGTGCCGTCCTCCCTCCCACCTCTTCCCCCTTCCCTCTACCCTTTTGGTATCTCTACTCCCAATCCTGTTCCTGGGTGCCATGTGTTGTGAGTGTTAGCTCTTGCTTATACCTATGTACATGCTCCCATCTAGACCAGAGTGGGATATAGCACTGGGGTCATGACAGTGGTGGGTGAGGAGTGGCTATCCAACAGTGAAGCAACAAGCCCACATGGAAGAAGCACACCAGCTGGTGCATTCATGAGGTGTCATCAAGACCCAGCAACAGGCATCAGAAGATTCTCAACAAACAGTAAACGAACAAACAAAAATGCATTGGTGAGAATGGAGGGGGGTCAGAGCAAAAAGCCAAAACCCACCTGTGGCAATGGAACATACCCCCCACTAAGCGGTTGCAGGGAGGGGATGAGTCAATCAGGGTGCAGTAGAACACTAATGGATCACTCAATGTACCTCTGCTCCCTTGCGGCCTCCTAACCCCCCCACTATCATGACAAGTCTTTTAAAATATGACAGCCAACTTGTGACACCTTTCTCTGGACCTGTTGAACCTGTTGATTCTGTTCACTGGCTGACTGGCTAAGTGGGTGCCTACATTCATTGTAGCCCACAAATCTTCAAATCACAACCCACGCGCCTGGAGAAATTCACCAACTCAGCTCACAGTGACCTACACAGCATCCTGAGGTTGGGCATTCTCTGCCCCTCCTGCCCTCTTGTCGGGTCTGTGGTTTGAACAGAAGAAGGGAGACGTGTGCTCCGGTAAAAGAAGGCCTCCACAGTTGACTCACCTGAGAACGGAATGTCTTTGGCTGCTCATTTAGAGTTGGGTTTTTAAAAGAAAAACAAAAGCATGAGGATGTCATCTTTCTCTATAAACAACTCCCCATCCAGTGTTAGATGTTCTTGAATGAAACTCTTCTTGGTATAACTAAAAAACAAAAACTTACTGCCATCAACTTGATTCGAAGTCATGTGGACCCTAGAGGACAAAGTAGAACTGCCTCTGAGTTTCCAAGAAGCCTCATCTTTTTCCCACTGAGCCACTGGTGATTTCAAACTGCTGACCTTGGGATTAGCAGCCCAATTTGTAACCACTTCGCTGCCAGGCCTCCCATCTTAGTGTAAGGTCCCAGGGCAATAATCCATTTTCCTATGCAAGAATTCTTTGATATCAAATGCCATGTTACCTAGCTTGTGTACAGGTCTGATCATTTAAACCTAGGGACCAAATTCAGTGAATGTTTCCTAAGTGGACATGTTGGCTGAAAAATAAGAGCTTTTTTCACTTTAGGGTTTGGCCCAAAGAAGACCCTGAAATAAGCCCAGCTGCTTTTCAGAGTGAAACTGATGAGCTGAAAAACCCGCAAACCTAGCACCATTGAATCTGATTTACAGTGACCCGGGTTCGGTTTTCTGACGCTGTAAACCTTTTTTTGTGTATGTGGGAAATTTTTATTATCATTTAATGCCATTTTTCATGAACTATTTGAAGCCTCCCTCATATTAAAACCACTCAGATTAAAAGCATATGGGTAGAATTTGAGTGTACAGTGCTTCCCACAGAGACACAGACTCTTAAGAAGCAGTCCCATTTTTCAGTGAGCTTATGAATACCAATAGTAAGATGATGTTCATGCTTGTTAAGAGACACTGAAGCTGTAAATCTTCACTGTAGCAGACAGCTTCCTCCTCTTCAATTGGAGCATTGGGTTTGAACTGGCAACCTTGTGACTAGTGCTGACCCAGTCGTACACCAGGGTTCCTAACATGATCAATAGGAACATTTCCCTCCCAGGGCTGTCTCCATATTTTGGATGAATTAGCATTGTTGCCTCCATGTTCCAGGACAGCTATTATTTTAAACAGGGCTTCCTGATTTACTTTAGCCTGAGAATCAGATACCTAATGTAACTGATCACTCTCCTTTACTTAGTGTCCCATTTCTAAGTGTGCTCTTTATTAAAAGTATAGCGTCTACAGATTAAACAGACTTGGGTGGTCATTTGGCTAGGCCTTTTCCCAAGTACAGAAATATTTCTTACTTTTTTTCTCTTCTAGCAGGATGTATGTCTTTGAACTTACTCAGTGGCCATGCATCCGTTATGATCTTTGTTAAGAAGCAATCTTTAATCGTTCTGATATCTGTTGAGTTCAAATTCATTCACGTGCTCATGTTAACACTGTGGAACACACTGAAAGAGCCCGGGTGGCATAGTAGGTGGGCTGCAAGCTGGGCTGCTAACCACCAGCTCTGAGGGAGAAAGAGGAAGTTGTGAGGGGAAGATGAGGCTGTGCTTCCTTCAAGGTTTGCAACCCCAAACTCTAGAGAACAATTTGCTGCTGCCTTGTAGGGTCGCTCTCAGTCAGAATCAACTCAATGGGAGAGGAGTTTGCTGGTGTCTTTGTTTATTGAGCATATAAGTACAAAGGAGCCCTGGGAGTGTGGCCCTTTGGGGTAAGCCTTGGACTGCTAACCGCAAGGTCAGTGGCTCAAACCCACCAGCCACTCCTTAGGAGAAAGACTGGGCTGTCTGCACTTGTAATGATGTACAGCCTCAGAAACTCTCTGTAGGCCTGCCTATGAGTCAGCATGGACTCGATGGTGGTGGGTATTTGCCCTTGGACTGTTGGAGGTGCTGGAGATCCAACAACGGGCAAGGGAGACCTTCTCGGCATACTGGAGTAAGAATAAAGAAAAAGGAATAAAAAATTATTTTCTGAGAGATTTGGCATGCATGTGCATTAAGGTGACGTCAGTGGAAAATGTAAGCTCTTTAGGGAAAAAGGGGAATTACGTGCCCGTTTCTGAGTCAAAGAGTGATGATTT